CGACGTTGAACCAGCAGCGGAGGGCACGGACCTCGACCACCCCCCCGCCGATGCCCGAGTCCGCCGCGCCGCGGCCAGACCCCCCGCATCGGGCGCCTCCCCGAAGGCGCCTGCTCGAGAGCCCGCTCCGCCAGGCCCCTGGTGGCAAACATGTGCACGATTGGCGCTGACATCCAATCACACAGCGCGAGAGCGCGAAACCTCTACAACAACGCGTTATTCGCCGCCATCCATCCCAAGGGGAGATCACGGATATCCAGGCCATGCCTTTGAAACCGACGCCATCAGACAGCGCGAAGCCCTCCTTGGACTGCGCAGGCAGGTGCGACGAGGCACCAGTCCCAACGCCGAGGCCCAAGCGGTCCGCGACCACGTATAAACCTTGCAATGTTGCGGCCCCTTTGGCCGAGTCTGACAAATCCTCGCCCAGACTGGAAAGGGTGCTGGCCACCTGACGGCACGATGTGCGACGGCTGCGGCACGCACCTGTGGTGGCCGCGCCTACCCATTGGGATGTTCACTTACGTGCTCAAAGTTTCGCAGGAGGGCCTTCGCCCGACGAGCCCTCACCCCCAGACGCGATCTGGGAGCGGTCGCGCCGTCAAACATGGCCCCGGTTACTTCGCCATCGCCTGGCTTCACAGAACGAAGGGCAAGTCTAAATGCACCGCGCGGCGACGTGGCCTCCTGCGCAACGATCCCTGCGGCGGCAACCACAGCCAGCACAAGAAAGTTCGGACGGAAATCTCGGCCGACCCGCCCGGAGGGACCTCCCGTCGCACATGCGGCACCACGGGCAAGCGCACGCCACGCCCCTCGACCTGCAGGCGGACCTCGCCAGCGACGCACTCCCACGGCCCATCCCCAGACCGCCACGCGAAGGCCACGGGAAGGACCACTTCGAGAAACGCACCGACCCCACCACGGGAGCCAGGTGGGCTCACACAACCACTGACGGAGCGCGCTCGCACCAGGCCCATCACCCCCTCGCCAAGGCAGGGTTTGGGATGCACTTCGGACCAGAGCATCGACTGAACCGCTCTGCCCGACTGCCCGACTCCACGGCCCGGCGCAGACAGCACAACGCGCCGAGACCCTGGCGCTCCTCAAACTTACCGCCGCGGCAGAAAGGCCCGTCCACATCTTCGTCGACTACCAAGCCGTCGTCGACGGATTCGAAGCCCCACTCGAAGGCATTCCCCCGCAAACCAAGGGCGCACAAGCCGACCTCCGACAAAGAGTCCACCAGGTGACCCAAGCCGAACCCAACATGCTCAAGGATCAGAAGTCGAAAGCCACCTCGGAGAGCAAAGGATCGACGAAGGCCATATCTCACCAATCGCCGAGGTCTTCAACCGTCACGCCAAGGAGCTGGCATCAGCGGGAGCCCGCATGCGCTCCACACCGCAGGACGTCACCGATGTGGCCAACTAGAGACATACAGTCGCTGACGTCCTCACCAAAGGACGATATCGTGCGGCCAAGTGGCGAATTACATTCGCGGCCATCCTCCCCAGCACAGCGGCCGCAATATATGGCCGTCGTCACCACGCGCTTCCGCTGCCCGACAGACCAGCTGGATACAGGTCAGAACTGCACTGGATGAATCCCAGTCCTCTAGCTACAGGGGGCGGCGAGTATGAGCCACGAGGCCCACCCGTTGACACACCCCACTCCCAAAGCCCACCAGGGCCAGGGTGCTACGACGAACTTGACGACCCACGGGACGCCCCTCCCGACAACTTCCACGGCAACGAGGAGGACCCACTCGGCCAACGGGGGCTTCGACAATGAAGAGGATGACACTCCCCACCCACCAGATTGTCGCGACACCGATAGTCACGACGCGGACGACGATAGACCACCTCCACGCCAATGCTGGCGCATGACGACAACGACCCAGGAGGTGGAGGTCCACTAGGACTCCATCTCAAGCACTCCAGTGCGACCCGGGCAGAACATCACATGGGTGGACCACATGGGAGACTGCACGGTCCCTACCGTCTCCCCCGCTGCAGACAACCACACCCCAGGGCAAAACTGCGCCAGCAACGCCACCTGCCTGGGAGAGGATCTGCGCGTGGCAGGCGAAGGGTCGCGGCCTGCGTCCCAGGGGCCGGTTCCGTCGCCTCAACCCGCTGGGCTGGCCGGAGCAGCCCCCCAGCGCAACGCTTCCTGTCACCAGGCAAACCCCTCGCCCCACCAGGGAACGGGGACCGAGGGCCCCAGTACCACCCACCAAGACGTAGGCGCCCGAACGACGCCACTGCAGTGTACCGATCGGAGGAATGCCCTCACGCAACGCCTCACTACAGCTAGGCCACTGCCTCCACAGGACCGTGAAGCCGCACTCACCGCAAGTATCACGGCGTTGCAACAGCGAGCCTCTAGCCACGTGCCCACGCTGAGCAACATCCAGGAACAGTCCATATCCCTTCTCGACAAGTCTCAACAAGCACAATCCGCCTGGAACGAACTCCAACACGCTTTCCGCACGCCTGCCTTCCCTGGGATCACTCTCCAAGAACACCTCCAGGCGCGAGTTGCTGCTCATCGCTAGCGTAGCGCACCAGTGCTAGCCGCTTCCTCTCTCACTTCGTGCCCTGCGAGAAAACCTGGCAACCTGTTCCGTAGACCTGGTGCTGGGGCGTCACTGGGCCGCCGAAGGGGGTGCCCCAAGGCTGCGCCTTCTGTTCTTAGGACTCCGTGGCGCGCACGTCGAAGCGCGTTTAAAGCCATTGCCTCTCTTTCTGGGGGTGCTGGAGGGGCGAGTCTCGTCCTTATCTCTACATCCCGCTTCTGCTGTCCAGTCGGGGTCCCTGTTCGACCGCGCCAGGGGGGAGGTTTCTTGTTCGCCACCCCTGCCATTCACATGCGGTACCTCCCACCTGAAGACGTGGGCGCAGCGGGCGCTAGCACCCCGATTGCCCGGACGGACCTTGGCCTGCCCTTATCGGTGCGCTCTCTCTCTCTCTCTGTCTATGTATATTTCTCTCTCTCTCTCGCTGCCTCTCTCTCTCTATATATATATATGATACCGGAAAACCCAAATCTGGTTTGGGCCTATGGGGCTATAAGGCTATAGGGCTATGGGGCAATGGGGCTGTAGGGCTAGAGAGCTATAGGGCTATTGGGCTGTTGGGCTGTAGGGCTAGGGCTATAGGGCTATTGGGCTATAGGACTATAGGGCTATATAGGGTTATAGGGTTATTGGATCATACGGCTATAGGGCTATAGGGTTATAGGGCTTTAGGGCTATAGGGCTACAGGACCATAGGGCTAGAGGAGAGGGCTAGAGGGCTAGAGGGCTAGAGGGCTAGAGGCTAGAGGGCTATAGGCCTATAGGGCTGTAGGGTTATTGGGCTATTGGACTACAGGGCTTTAGGGCTGTAGGGCTATAGGGCTGTAGGGCTGTAGGGCTATTGGGCCATGTGGCTTTAGGGCTATAGGGCTATGGGGCACCCGGGCACCCTCGGGCACCCAGGCGGGCCGTCGGATTCGGCGACGCAAATCCCGGGCACCCGGGCACCCGGGCACCCAGGCACAGGGGCGGGCCACCAAAATCGGCGACGCAGCCAACCTAACCATATGAATCCGCTATGACCCCTACAGAGGCAACCTCTGTTTGGGGAATGTTTCACTCCATATATATATATATATATATGTATATATATATATATATACGTGTATGTGATACCGGAGAAAAACCAATCATAATATTTTTAGAGCTATAGGGCTATGAGGCAATAAAGCTATAGGGCTACAGGGCTATAAGGCTATGGGGTGACAGGGCTATAGGGTTTTAGGGCTATAGGGCTATAGGGTTGGAGGGTTAAAGGGCTCGATGGCTACTGTGCTATAGCGCTATAGGGATAGGGCTATAGGGCTGTTGAGGCTATAGGGTTATAGGGCTAGGGCTCTAGGGCTATACGGCTACAGGGCTATAGGGCTATAAGGCTATAACACTGTAGGGCTATAGGGCTATAGGGCTATAGGGCTATAGGTCTAGAGCTATAAGGCTAGGGGGTTAGGGCTATAGGGCTACAGGGCTATAGGGCGATAGGGCTCGAGGGCTATAGGGGTATAGGGCTATATGGCTACAGGGTTATAGGGCTATAGGGCTTTACGGCGATAGATCACCCGGGCACCCGGGCAGCCCCCCAGGAACCTCCGGGCACCACCGGGCACCTGCGGGCACCCCTGGGCACCTGGGCACCCAGGCACCCGGGAACCCCCGGGGACCCGGGCACCCGGGGACCCGGGCACCCAGGCGGCACCCTGGCTGGCCACCGAAATCGGCGGCCCACCTCACCTAACCATATTTATCCGTTTGGAGCCCTACAGAGGCAAGCTCGGATTGGGGAATATATGTATGTCTCTCTCTCTCTCTCTCCTTCTCCCGCTCCCTCTTCGCCACACGTTCCGCTCCCCTCTCCCTTTCTTCCCCTATCCCTATCCCTCTTCCGCCTCATCCGATATCCTAATAAGGCTCCGGCTTGCGCACAAACAGTCCCCCCTTTCAAGTAGTCCCGGCTGTCTCAACAGCCCCCTCGAGTAGTCCAGGGCGGCCGCAACACCCTGCAGGGGCGCGGCGCGGAGAGCCCCGGGAGCGCCACCGGAGACTGCGCCACGGTGTTGAGACGGCCCCAGCCTGCTTGGGGCGTCTGTTGAGGCCAGCTGGGACTGGTTGGTCGGGGTGCCTGGTGAGGCCAGCCTGGACTGCCTGGAGGGGCTGCTTGTGCGCAACCCGAAGCCTTGCCACCTCCACCCCTCTGTCGGCGGGCGCTCGCAGGCGCTAGGTCATAACTCGGCCCTCTGGCGGCCATTCGGACGATCCGGGCACCCCCGGCTCAGCGAGGCGCGGCTGCTAGAGAGCATCCCGAGGCTGGAAAGCCGCCGAGAAGCGACGAAAACGCCTGAAAACCTCGAACCCCTCTCCCCTCCACCCCTCCGCCCCCGAGCATCCCCATCCCTCTGGCGGCGGGCGCTCGGAGGCGCTCCGGGCGGTGCGGCAGCACGGCGCGGCCGTGGGGGCCGAGGGGGGCGAGCAGGCGCTGCTGCTCCGGCGGCAGGCCCAGCCGCGCCGCCAGCTCGGCCTGGACGAGAAAGAGGAGGAGGCGGAGAAAGAAGAGGAGGAGGAGGAGGAGGAGGAGGAGGAGCAGAGAGGAGCAAGGAGGAGGCCGCAGGTGCCGCTCGCAAATGCACCGTGCACGCGCGCGCGCCCACTGCGCGGACCGCACGGGGCTTCCCAGACTGGCGCTGCGGAGACGGAAAGGCAGGCAGTCAGGCAGCCACACCTCCCCACCCCTCTCCACCCCTCTCCTGGGCCTCCTGCCGCTCCTGCCGCTGCCCCTCCTAATGGTTCCTGTTGAGGCTCGGCAAGCATCAGCGGCATGGTTTTTGCGCTCCTGTGAGAAAAACCGAGAACCGACTCAGGCGCAGTGCAGTGGCCGACAAATCAAACCTGGTGAGCCCCCCCTCCTGGTTCCTCCTCCTCCTCCTCCTCCTACTCCTCCTCCTCCTCCTCGTCCTCTTCCTCATCCTCTTCCTCCTCCTCATCCTCCTCCTTCTCTCTTCTTAGGCAGGCCGGGCTTGCCCAGTAACTGCACCTGAGACGATCTTCGTTTCGTCTCACATCTCGCTCTGGCACGCTTCACCGCCGCCAGACTCGGACATTGCACATGTTCCGTTCCACTTTCGACCTATATTCTGCCAAGACATTCCGATTGCAGGGTAATGCGAAGATATGCATATGTATAATATGTATGTTCTGACCTCTTCCGCATCAGGCTGCTGATCATACTCATCTTGGCCGCAATTATGGACAAATCTTCGGCAAGCAAAAGAGGCGCTCCACCAGCTCCGTCTGGGAGGCAGCAGTCGCAGCACGCTCAGCAGCCGCCAGCAAAACAGGACAAACACATGAGCATCGACCAGAATTCACAGGAATGGCAGACCAACCCCCTCCTTCAGCCGCATCACCAGTCCCACCTCGAAAGACAAGAGATCAGCGGAGAAGCGAGAGCGACTGCGACTAATCCGCCTCGAGACGGCCAGCTGCAGCGGGGACGAGCCGTGCAACACGGCTCCGACACGGTCAGGAGTGACCGATGCACAGTGGTGCCAGACAGGCGATGGCAAAGAAGCCCATAAGGATAAGCAGCAAGAACGGCCACATCAAGGCCAGAGGAAAACAAAAAGACCGATGCATGGATGGGAGATCTGAATAGGGCGAGTCTGAAAATGAGGGCGCCACGGCGCGCTCTGCGCCGCCGACAGCACCAGCGGTGATGAGGCTCGAGGGATGGCGCTCGAGGTGTCTTTCGCCCTCTGCAACTTCCAGAAACCCAGGCCGTCGACCTCAAGGTAGTCGACAAACGTGGTGACCATGTCCGCACCGACCTCCTCCCTGTTATAGGGAGGCCGTTGCACGTCAACAGCATAACGCACGGCACCTACAGCGATATAACATATACGCTTTCAACCACAATCTAGATGATGATTCGCGAAGTGCGCTGGCCAAATGCACCAGGCAGACCCAGACTCACTCGAGGGCAAACCTGCAATAGGCGAGCCAACACTCGAAACCTTGGCCAGGGCGGTTAAACCAGAGTGCGCGTCTGCCCCCAGCAAAGTGGCAGGGCTGTCACATGAGCGTGGCCGAAATGTAGGCCCCGGATCCTACTCGTAAGAATCGAGTTTCAAATGCGGTCCCTGAGTTGCGAAACGGGTCGGCGATACTGTAAACACGCAATGAGGAGCTACCACGTGAACACATACGCCACTGACGGCTCGAAGAAAAAATAAGGAGAAGGAGGACGAGGAGGGGGAAGAGCGACCATGCCCATGCACAAGGGCGACATAATCAATATCACAGCTACCAGGCATACCTTGATCTGGTAGCTGGCAATACTGCGTGTCGTACACAATCTGGGCCAATGCGCAAATTTATTTTCACAGCCTGCCATGGTCCAACAACAGTTGCTTGTACGCCTGTCGCACGGGCGACAATCAGCAAGTGCAACTCGCCGCCCTAATGCGCCAAAGGCGTGCTAGAATCCCCGGTAAGACACCACCAGTATATCCAGTTCGCGCGCGCGCGGGGCTGCCCCTGGGACCCCGGGGCCCCTGGAAGAAAAATATTCCGCGCAGGTCCCCAGAAACCCTGGGTCAGAGACGGTTTTCCTCCCAGGCGCTGCCTGGGAGCCCCCCCTTCCAGTAGGCTCCAACAGCGCCCCAAGCGGCCTCTGGCAGAGCCCCACAGGGTCCGAGACGACGGCCCAAGAGCGCCCCAAGATTGCCGCGTGACGGGCCGAAGAGGCTTCCAAACGTGAGGCAGAATTCATTGATTGTCCTTGTGTGTGTGCGTGCCTGTGTATTTGGATTCCCTGCCAGACCCCATGCACAATGCAGGAGGCGAGAGGAGGCAGGACCATTTTACTGGCCGGTACGGCCCACCGCCCGCCTGCTCTTTGGCGGGCGAACAAAAATATGTAGGGCGGGAGGGAGGAAAAGCGCAACCTGCTCGAGCCCAAGCGGCTATAGCAAGAAGTAGGGGAGAGAGGAAAAAGAAGGCAGGCGCACGGCGAGCAGGGAATCCGCCCGTTAAAGCGAAGCACTAACAAAATTAGATTCTCGACCGGAACCCATGAACAATTCAGGAGTTGAGGGGAGGCAGGACCATTTTACTGTGGCGCAGGGCAGGGGTTCAGCTGGTACGGCCCACCGGCCACTATGAAACCCACCCGCCACAGGGTCCTGGCAGACTGACTTCCCCACAAACAAAAACGCAAAGCGTGGACACTCAGGCAGCCCGCCCTTCGGCGGAGGGCGCCAGTGTTACTCAATTAATGCGTGTGGGTGCGACAAAACAGTGAGCCGAAACCAGACGTGCCCGCGCAAAGCACAACACGACTGGGTGGTGCCCAAGCCCTGTGGCCCGGCACCCTACCAGCGAGGTTGTGCGGACAAGGTGAGGCGCCCCTAATGGGCGACGGGCCTCAGGGGGCCCCTAAACCCGAGCCGACGGCGAAACGAAAAGGGCCTTGCCCGCAAAACTGCAGGGACCAAGCCAGGGCTAGCCCCATGGAGGCGTGGTGCCGTCACTGGCGCGGGTAAGGCGAGGGGGGTACTGCAGGCAAGAGCGAGGGCAAGCTCCCCTAGCGACACTCGGGGCACCCGGGGCACTATCTAGAAAAACAGCGGATGCCGGGAACGGGGCCCCCTATAGCGGGGCCCCCAAGAAGGCATGTGAGGCCCCTCCCCAAGGGTCTCGCAGTGCGTCGGAGAGCCACGCTCCCGCTCCCTCTCTTCTTAGGCACCATTTGTGCTGCAGTGGCAAGGGGAGTCCACGCAGCGGTCCCCGCCTGAAAGCCTACCGGGGTCGTAGGGGACCGGCGGCTCCGGGCCGACGCCTGGGACCCCGTAGCCCTCCGCCTTGGGGCTGGGCTTAGCACCAGCCGCTTCTTCTTAGGCGGGCAGTCCTCGAGGCCGCCAACGCCTGAGGGGCGGCTGGAGTCGCAGGCTCTCGGCGGCTGTACGCTGGTGCCCGGCCCCTTGGAGCGGTCCCGCGTTGTGCTAGAATGCCGGTCGGGGTAGTACCCGAAGCAGCCCACGCCTGCGTGGCAGTTGAGGTCGTTCGTAGGTCTGCAGCTCCGCGTTGGTGCCCGGAGCCTCGTAACACTCCGCCTGGTTGCTGGGTTCGGAGTCCGCTGCCCTCGCAAGAGACGCACTGCCGTAGCGGTCGGGATAATCCACAAAGCGGCCCACACCCGAGGGGCAGCTGGGGTCGTCGTAGGCGGTCAGCATCTCCACGTTGATGCTCGGCTCCTCAGAGCGGTCCCACGTGGTGACGGAATGTGCCCTGACGCAGCCTAGGCCTGCGGGGCAACTGCGGGCATATGGGATCCTCTGCCCCGTGGTGGCGCCAGGGATCTCGTAGCCCTCTCCGCCTCGTTGCTGGGCGTCGACTCCGCCGCCTCCGCCAGGGGCGCGCTGCCGCGGCGGCCTGGGTAGTCCTCGAAGCAGCCCACGCCTGGGGGGCAGCTCGGATCGCAGGCGGTCGGCGGCTCCACGTTGGCGCCCGGGACCTTGGGGCAGTCCAGCGGGGTGCCGGGACACTGGCAGGGGTAGTCCTTGAGGCAGCCCCCGCCGGCGGGGTAGCTGGGGGCGTAGGGGCTCTCCCCGGACCCCTGACGGCAGTGCCCGCGTTGGCCCGACGACCGAGCTGGCGCCAAGGCCTGGGGGGGCCTTTGCGTTGACGGCGTCGTCGGCGCTGGCATCGGGACGGGCCTCGATGCTGGCGCCGCGCTGGTCAGGACTTGGGAGGCCAGTGCGCACGCTGGGCGGGCAGGTCCGCCCCAGGGGGCGTACGTCTCCCAGGCCTCCAGGGGGACCCGCGGGGCCTCCTCACCCTCCCCGTCGTCGTCGCCTCCGGCGTCGGCAGTGGCGCCGGCGGCGTTGTCGTCGTCCGTCTTGCCGGCCTCCTGCGTGTCCGCCGCGGTGCCGGTCCGCCGAGGGCTAGGTGCTGGCACTGGCGCTGGCGTCGGTGCCGATCTCCAGCGGGTCTGGGTGGCCCGAGGCTGCCCCTCCCTGGGGTGGTCCGGAGCTGCTTCTGGGCGGTCCAAGCGGCCCCGCCCGTATGGTACGACGCCGCCCCTGCCTCGGCCTCGGCTGAGGCCGTCCAGGAGGCTGCCCGGGCGGCCGGCCACGCTGCTGGCTTATCGCCGGCACTGCGGTCACGACAGTCGGCGGGGCTGACGCCCCACATAGCCAGCGGGCTCTGGGTCGATTCGTGGAGGTGCGCCCCGCACTGGGTCAGGGTGTCCAGCAGAGCAAGCGCCTCATCCAGGAGGTCGGGTCCCTCCATGCCGTGCTGGTGGTAGGGTCGAGGGGGCACTCGCCGCTTCTGTCGCGCAGCTGGCGCTCGCGCTCGTGCGCCCACAGCTGGAAGAGCAGGTGGAGCGTGTCTGGGGAGGGAGTCCTCCCAACGGCCGTCATCTCGCAGACCACCTTCGCGCCTCCCGCGAAGGAGTGTCCCCGATCACGAGGGAGGGTGTCCGGCCAGGGTGCCCTCACTGATCCCTCGCCGGACTCGCCTTCCGCTCCTTCGGCGAATCCCAGGGGGGCCTCCCTTGCCAGTGCGGCATGGCCCTGGAGCCGCTCCGCAGCAACATCCCCCGCCGCTCATTGACGATGCAGCACCAGGCTGGCTGCTGGGGGCTGTGCGGCACGGCGGCGGCCCCAGAGCCCTCGTCGAGCTGCAGCCACCCGTTCGAAGGGACCCCCGTGAAGATCTGCCCCAGGCTCGCGTTGCCTATGATCCTTCCCCGTAGGCTCGGCTGGTCGCAGACGTTCACGCCCGCCTTGCACATGACCTCGTACCTGAACTACTCCTCGGTGCACTGCTCCCCTTGGACATACCGAAGGCGCGGGAACCTCTCCTCATCCCAGGCCTGGGAGCTGGCGTGGACGCTGATATTGGCGCTGGCGTCGGTGCCGATCTCCAACGGGCCTAGGTGGTCCCAGGCCCCCAGTCCATCCAGCAAGTACCCCCGCAGCAGCCAGAACAGCCGGTGGGCACAGACAAGGGGGCTAAGACAACGCAGGGGGCGAGGGCTAGGCCGAGGGCGGGCGCGTCGGCGTCGGCGTCCGAGCCGCAGTCCTGGGCGGAGGGGTCGGCGCCCAGGCCGCCGGCGTCAGCGTTGATGTCCGAGCAATCGGTGTCGGCGAAGGCGTCGTCGTCGGCAGTGTCCGAATGACCGTCCCCGTCGCTTTCCTCCCAGCTGTCGCCGTCCCAGTCCCCGTCGCCGTTCTTCCAGCTGTCGCCGTCCCAATTGTCATCAGAGCCGGACTCCTGGTCGCCGTCCTCCCAGCCGTCGACAACCCAGTCCGCCGTCGCCGTTCTCCCAACCGTCGCCGTCCCACTGCAGTCGTCGTCAGCGTCGGGTTGGCCATCTTCGCCATCCCCCTCCGGGTGGGCGATTCCCGCGGCGAAGCCGTGAGCGGACAGCAAAAGCGCGAGGAGCGCCGGGAGCATCGGGCCGACGCAGCTCGCGTAAGCTGCCGCGGACACGGGGCTTGGGGCGGCAGCATAGTGGTTGCGGTCGACCGAACTGTCGTCAGCGTCGGCCCCGGGGTCGAAGTCCTGGTCGTCGGCGTTGGCGTCGGCGCACGGGTCGTCGGCGTTGGCGTCGGCACCCGTACCGGGGGCCCGGGGAGGCAGAGGTATGCCGTCCTGCCTCCTTCCCTCGGGTCCAGGGCCCAGGGGGCCTCCCGGGGGTCCGTAGAAAGGGTGTTCGCCGATGGGGCACCAGGCCCTGATCTCCCCCATCGGGTCCGTGGGCCTCCCCAGGGGCACGGGGAGACATAGGCTGGGTGGCTGTGACGACGGTGCTGACGGAGCTGAGGAGCATGAGCTGCGGGTAGATTAGCCGCACTGGATGCCTCGAGCGGCACCCAGGCCAGCCCACGAGCGGCGCCCGTTCGGCCGCCACGCCCGAGGCCAAGGGTCCCGTCGCCTCCACGATCAACTCCCCCGTGTCCCAAGGTTCCCGTCGCGCCTTCCAGCGGGGGCCTCCCATCCTCCCGTGGATGTCAAAAACATCCTCCTGATCCTCCTGATCCTCCTCTTCCTCCTCCTCCTCCTCCTCCTCATCCTCCTCTACCTCCTCCTCCTCTCCTCCTCCTCCTCCTCCTCCTCCCTCCTCTCCTCCTCCTCCTCAACCTCCTCCTCTCCTCCTTCTCTCTCCTCCTCCTCCTCCTTCTCCTCTCCTCCTCCTCCTCCTCCTCCCTCCTCCTCCTCCTCCTCCTCCTCCTCCTCCTCCTCCCCCATTCTCCTCCTTCCTACAATTGTGGGGGTGGGCGGGAGGTTCGGGAGCGCGGGGTGTTCACGGGGTCCGATCCCGCGCCGGCGCCTTCACTGCATGCGCCGTCCAGGACTCGTCGACCTGGCCAGGATCAGAACACGGGGAGTGTCTCTACGGAGGGGGAGCAAAATGGGTCAGCAACGAATCGGGAAACCAAATCGAATCGAAATGCGCGTCAGATCGAGCAGCATCGGCATGGAGTCAAAATCGAATCGGATCGGCTGCACAAGTATGTACGACACTGCCATACGAACATCGGGCCGCATCGGACCGTCGGGGTAATTATCGGAATCGGATCGGATCGTGCCGGCCAGAAGCGATGACGAACCGGATCGACCGGATGGATATGGACCCTGGGAGGATGGCTGATGATGGTGGGCAAACAGCAATGCAAAACGAAAGGCAATGTCCGAATCGGAGCGCGATGCAGGCATATGCTCCCTCCTCTTCCTCCTCCTCCCCCTCCTCCCTGCAAGCACCCAACAACATCCCAATGCCCACGATCAACCAGGAAGGCCACACGATCGGCTGGCGGAGCGAACGAGCTGTTCGAAAGACACAACGGGCTCCGGCAGGAGCGCGGCGGTGGCTGATGAAAGATTCAACGGGCCCTGGCAGTGGCGCGGCGGGAGCCCTGCGGCCCTGCGGCCCTGGCCGCATCGATGGCTGAGGTGCCTCGCACATTCCGCCTGCCCCCCCCCCCCTATCTCCAAAATGGCTCTGATGGCCTCTGGACTCCTCCCGCTGGCCCCCAGACAGCTCGAGATGGCACCAAGAAGGCAAACAGAAGTCCAACAAGGCTCCGTGCAGGGCTCCCGGGCAGCGAGTCTCAGACACATGCGTCTCATTTCTCCTATGTTGGACCCCTAGGCTGCTCTGAAATGGACAAGAATGACCTTGGCCCAGCTGGACTGAGATTGTCCGAGCTGGTTTTCGGTGGACTGAAATAGACTGAGCTGAGATGAACTGAACTGTACCGGGCTGAACTGTGCCAAGCCTGGTTGAGCTATAATGCGCTGGATTGAGAGCGCGGTAAATCTGATATTCCGGCAGATGGCGATGAGGTAAGCCAACACGTATACAGAGGAGGCGGCGGAGGAGAAGATGGGAGGGGGAGGACGGGGAGGGGGAGGAGGAAATGAAAGGAGATAGGGTATCTTGATCCGAAGGAAAAGTCCACCGAAGGTGCGGGGCTATGGACCTGCAGCGCTACGCACATCGGGTCGGCACCAGGGTCATCATCTGGAGGCTGGATGATCACCTGCCCGAGCGAATGACCCATGACGTGGCTAGTTGGCTACATCGTCTTCCCTGTCCCATCATCGTCGTCGCCCCGACCCTTCTCCATCATGTTCGTCCACTTCCATTTGCCAGCCTTCTCCCCTGCATCCTCCACACTCTTGATATCTCTCCACGGTCTTCTACCCTCTCACCTCTCACCCTCACTCCCTTTTTCACGCCCACCTCCTAGGTCGCATTTCCTACCTCACACTCCCCCTCCTCGTCCTGGTTCCTCACTCCCCCCATCGGTCATTCCCTCTCTGCTCCTTTGCCCTGACTCCTCCTGCCCCTTTCGTTCTTTCACGCGACATTCATGCCCCCTTCGTACTTCATCCTTATTATCTTCTCGCTTTGGCGTCCGCTTCTCCCCATTCGTACCCGCCCCCCGCCTCAAAAAAAAACGACTGAAACGACGAGGACGACCAGAACAGACGGCTGGGGGTCGCCCCGTGCCCCCACGTCGGCGGGGCATCACTTAGATCGCGAAAGAGATGTGGATCCCATTGCCTCCTCCTCCTTTTCCTCCTCCTTCTCTTCCTCCTCCTCCCTCTTCCTCCTCCCTCCATTCCTTGCCATTATGACTTGCTCTTCCCTGTCGCACCCCGAAGCCAGTCGGAAAGGCGGGCCGAAAGTGTCGCCTGATATTTCCCCACCATGAACCCGAAGCTCAGAAAGTGGCAGCCGTTTTACCTATGGAGGGCAGGTCGCTTCCAAAATGTGGCTCTCGCCTCAACGCCGCGCACATTCGTTTCGACAGTTTGCAAGGGTTTCATGGATTGACGGCGGGTGGATTTCACCATGTTGCTCTCGCCTCAGCGCCGCGCACATTAGTTTCAAACATGTGCAAGAGCTTCACGGACTGAGGACAGGTCATTTTCAATCTGTGGCTCTTGCCTCAGCGCCGTGTGCATTCGTTTGGGGGCACCTGCCCCGCCAGCCAACGCGTCCTCGAGCACGCGGGCCCAGGCGTCCTTGACTCGCTCGTGCCGGCCAGAATCCACGGCCCTAGGGCAGCGAGCGCAGCGAGTGGACGCCCAGGGAGTCCTGCTGCGCCACCGCGAATGCAGACCGCGCGCGCAGGCGGCAGCTGCAAGGGCAGCGCTAAGCGCGAGTGGACCGCCACCGAGAAAACGTCGTCCAGCATCCACTCCTCGCCTTCTTCTGCTGGCAGCAGCAGCGCCAGCGCCAGGTCCGCCAGCAGAGAGGAGCAGAGCGCGCAAGTCCTGTGGGAGCTCGTTTAATAGCGCGTCCCGGGCGGTTTCCGCCATCGTCTCCCCCTAGAGCCTTTGCAGGTGGCGCCGCGGCTGCGTCACCCCCGCTCGCGCGTCGTCGTGCGTCTGAACCCCTGCCCCAATAAGCGTCGTCACAAGCTGCTCCAGCCGCGCTGCCAGCAGGGGCGCCCGAGTCGTCAGGTCCTCGACCGAGGAGGCCCCCGTCGACCCCGACCTGGATACGGCGGGCAAAGCCGCCACTGCTTCCCAGCAAGGCAGATGGCGTGGTCCGCTTCGCATCTGGTAGCCCCAAACCGCCCTCACGCAACAGCAAGCGTGACCTGCGGAGGCGGGTGCGGTCCAGTGGGCCGGAGCGTGCCACGGCGGTCGCCGCGCGTCGTCCACCTGCGCCAGTGTGGAGTTGTCGAAGGAAGCACATGCCTTGCCTGCGCCCAGCCCGGCGTCCACCAGTAGCCAGAGCCGCGTGCAAGCGCGCTGCCGGCGCTGCAGGAGAACATGCCACACCTCCATCGCCGCATCGGCCGTGCCGCGGGCCCCGACGTCCAGAGGGACGCGGAACGTGGCCGGCTGCCGTGCCCTAGTCACCGGCACGCGTGGCTGTGTCGCTGTCGCTGTGAAGTTTGGGTCGGCGGCGCCCTCTGGTCGCCAGCAGGTGATCTTCGTGGCGTTGAGCCGCAGGCCGCCTGGGCCAACGTTGGCCCAGCCCGTTCGGCATCGCTGGTGGCGGCAAGCAGACATCGACATCATCCATGTACGCGGCCTCCTCCAGCCTGACCGGGAGCTCCTCCAGTTGCGCGTCAACCGCGCGGACGGCAGGGGCAAAGCCAAGCGCGAACAAAAGCGGCGAGAGCGGCCCGCCCTGCATCACACCGCGCCGCACCTTGACGGAGACGTGCGTGCCGGCATCGGCCACCAGCAGGTGTTCTGCGTCCGCTGCCAGCAAGCGCCCGACGATCGGCGCCCAGGCAGGTACGACCCGGTCAGCCTCGTTGACAAAGAAGGCGCGGTCCAACTCGTTGAACAAACTGGACAAGTTTAGGCCGAGCACGCCCCAGTCCGGGTGCACGTGCAGGGTCGCTGCCCCCAGGTGCACCACTGTTTCCGCGCCACCTGGCGTGCCCACGCCGTACTGGAACGGGGCGGTGGCAGCTCGGACTGCTGGCCCCGGCAGTCGCGCCATCGCCATTCCTGCACCACGACGGCCCTGACGCCGCAGTCCGGCTTCTGCAGTGGGATGACCCACCCGCGGGCCAGCGCCTGCAGCACCGTGGTCGGCAAGCGTCCCTCTGCCACCACCAGCGCCAAGGCTCCCACCCTGCTGCTGCTGCTGCTGCTGCTGCTGCTGCTGCTACTGCTGCTGCTGCTGCTACTGCTGCTGCTGCTGCTGATGCTGCTGATGCTGCTGCTGCCGACTACGTGCAGGAGAGGTCGCCAATGCTCGTAGCGAGAGCCCCCAAGAATCGGAACAACGCGCCGCAGCGTGTGGGAAAGGGCTTTTGCCAGCGCCCCCTGGAAGGCCCCCTGGTGGTGCGGCGAGAGGGGCGACGGCGGTGCCACGGGCAACGCCGCGGCCCCCCCCGTCGGGAGAGATCCTGGACGCGCTCAGGCAAATCTGGACCGCGCGCCAGAGGCGTGGGTTGCGGGGTCCGCGCGGACGCCCGTCGGAGCTCCCCCACTTCCAACAATTGCCGCAGTCGGATCGCCGTTTACTCGAGGTACTCATCGGCGCCGAAGGCGCCTCCAGAATCCTGCGCTGGTCGTCGAAGCCACTCGTCGTGAAGGATGTCCCACGCGCCCAGGCGTACCACCTCGAGCCTCTCGGCAAGCAGCTGCTGGAGAGCCCGCGCCTGCTTCCTCCCCCAGCTCTTCAGCTCGGGCTTCAACAACACAAAGCCATCCAACGCCAAAAGCGCCTTCCAGGCCCGCACCATGCTCGTCAACTCGCCGCTCTCGGTCGCGTCCAGCACGCCGGTGATGATGTTGGCCGTGACCGAAGGAAACGCCTGGAGCATCGTGTTGAGGACGTTGGAAAATGTCTGCGCGGGGAGCAATGTGTCCGACCAAGGCACAACACCGAAGTAAGCGAGACCGTTCGGCCTCCACCCGTCGACCTCCATGCTGTCGTCGACGATGGAAGGGTCGCTGGCCACAAGAGTATCCTCCGCCTCCCCGTTCCTGACGACCGTGGCATCGTTTTGTGCGTCGCGCCCGGATGCTTCTCCGAGTAGTTGCCGTAGATCAGCTGGTAGGTCCTGCTGCACTCCTCGAAGATCCTCCCAGGCGAAGTCCCTTGGTCGGCGCAAAAAGTTCACGTGGCAAAAGCGTGCTCAGGAGTTGCTGGCGGGCCCCGTCAGCGTCGGCGGCGCCGCAGCGGCGGCATGGGCCGAGGGGGTGGCGCCGCGGGGCTGGCGCCACAGGGACCTGAGCCAAAGCGGGGCAGGCGCCACTGGCCAGCTCCCCTCCCTCCCTCTCTCCCCTTTCTCCCCCTCCTCCGTCTGCCCCTTCCTCAACCTTCCCTTACGCACGAGGACACGGCGACCTTACGCGAGGGCTTGCGAGGGCCGCTAGGAGGCACGCTCTTGAAGAGATGGCGGCTGTGACTGTCCGTCCTGTCGGCCCCGACGCCACCGCCATCGCATTCACACTGCGCGGGCGCCAGCAGCCACCTTCTGCCCCTCCCCAGGCCCCGGACATCCGACGTCTTGATTCTTTCGCGATGCGGGCCCCTGGAGCTCTCCGCGGGACCAGTGTCTCGTCCTGGGTCGCTTGTTGACGGCCCTGGGTCCCAGAAAGGGCCTCCGAAGGCCCAAATAAAGGATAGCTGGCCGTCGTGATTCTTCCGCGACCCTGGAGGTGTGGGCACTCTTCGCCAATTTCGACCCCTGGGGCCTGCGCCCAAGTGAATTCCAGCCAGAATTTCCTGGCGGATCCAGCCATGGCGAGAGAGCGCCTCAGGAGGCTCCAAAACGAACAAACGACGTGAAGGCATATACGTCGTCCTCGCCGTCGTCATCCTCGTCGGCATCTGAGCCTGCCCAACCAAAAAGACCCCGGCCCCCTAGGGAGCGGCGTGGAGAAGGGAGCAGAGATGAGGATTAGGCAACCACATGTGAACCCTACCACTGAAGATCAAAGTTCTGAAAACCTGGCTGGGGCTCGGAAGTTGAAGGATGTCTGCAGCCAGTTGAACCCCAGCGGGGTGTCCGGTATCCCAGCAGGGGTCGGATTCGCTGGCAGTCGCACGAGGAAGGAGGCGCAAGGAGGAAGGAGGAAGGAGCAGAGAGGTCTGGGGCGGCGTCTGAGCCAGATGGCTCCCAGAGAGACACGAGCTCAACACTCCGCTCAGAGCTGGCCAAGACCCCTCCCGGAGCCCATCCTGGCCAGTTTTCCGAGCGCGTCCAGCCACCGTGGCAGCGAGAACCTCCAGAAGCGCCAAAACACCTACGGGACGACAATACCGACAACAAAGACGACGACGACGACGACGACGACGACGACGACGACGACGACGACGACGACGACGACGACGACGACGACGGCGGGCGGCCCAGACTCAGGATGTGAAACTGATCTGGGAGAGAAAGGGCTTCAAAAACATCGAGCCGTCCGAGGTCAATGGGACGGGCACGCGGTCGAGGAAGAGCTGAGATATGTCGACTTGCGCCTATGCGGGGAGGAGTGAAACGAGCGTCTCGACGCTGGGGTGGCCCAGACCGCGAAACCGACGACGCCGACGAGGCCTTTAGGGGGAGGCCAACTGTACATAGACACCGACCCTGGCCACGCGCATCCCAGGAGGTCGTACACACCGATCGTCTATGTGCATGGGAAGGCTTCGGGCTGCGCGCAAACAGCCCCTCGGAGGGCCTGTTGGGACCAGCTGGGACTGCTCAGGGGGGGCCTGTCGAGGCAGCTGGGACTACTCGGGGGGGCCTGCTGGGGCCCGAAGCCTCAGCAGGTCGGTGCGCACCAGTCCTGGGCCCAGGACGAGCCTGGCCGGGGTCGGCGCACCTCGGACGGCCGACCAACCTCTACTCAAAACGGGCCCAGACCCTTCCCGGGGTCCAAACGCGCCAGAGCTTCGAGCTGCGTACAACCATGGCGACGAGGAGCACCCCCAGAGGCCAAAACTTCTCGAACCTCGAGCCTCGAGGTTCAAGGTTCGAACCTCGACATGACCCCCCCCGCGGAGATGCGTGCACAGCTCTCACCGCCCCAGGCTCTTGGCCGGCCCGCCCGGCGAGAGCCGCCTGCAACGACAGCGGGGCTGGCGCGGAGGGCACGGGCTCGGGCTCCGGCGGCCGGTGCTCTGGCCGGAGGGGGGGCGGCGGCATGAGCCCCGCTTCTGCGCTCGGGGCGGAGGCGAAATGAAGTCTGGACTCCCCATCGGAGTATCCTGACGACGACGACGACGACGACGACGACGACGACGACGACGACGAGCACGAGGAAGGAACGAACGATGAGGCGACAGGGGAGAGGACACCTAGGACTGCCAGGGCGGCGAATCACGCTGGGCTTTCGCGCCCGTGCGCTGGCATCCCGGCCTGCGCTCGGCTGAGCGCAGGGACGGGGCGGGAAGAGGGAGGGGGGCAGCAACATCAGCGAGCAGGCAGTCGAGCTGTTTGGAGGGAGGACGACCCAAAGCCCCTCAAGCTGCGAACGGAAACGCGACGCGAGGTTCCCTGAACATCTTGTGAACACCTTGTCTGCGCTGTTCTGGACAGGCCGCGAGGCAGACTCACTCCTGGCTCCCAACAGCTGGAGCGAGGAGGAAGAGAGAAGGGGGAAAGGGAATACAGGAGGAAGTCGGACAACAGATAGAAGAACAACAACTGCGCTTCGGAGGTCCACGCGGATTTCTTGGGTCGACGCTGGACCCCTTCCACTGGCGCGCGAAGCGCGACAGGAACTCAGCGCCGACCCAAGAAGTCTCCGCGGACGTCCGAAGGTTTCTGGTTGTGGATTTGCTACTCATGGACGTAAGTGGCAGGGCCTGCTCCGAGCAGAAGTATTCCCGGATGTCCTGGTATGTCACAAGGGCACAATTATGGGTCCAATCAGCGAGCGTCAGCATCATGGACCAACAGACCGCACCCTCACAGCGCATGACGTCGCCGGGCAAGGGAAACAATGCAAAAAAGGCATCGCGATATCTTTTCGGCATCTATCCCGCCAGGTTGCACGATCGGCTAGATTCCTACCGGGCATCCTGCTGCATTTGAACTGCTCATGCAGCAGACATGTGAATTACGTCATGGAGAGCCCTTTAGGCGGTCTAGACGCGTTGAAGGAGCAGGGTTTATGCACTGCACGCAGCCGGGCCCAGAGCAATTCACACGAGGCGCTGTGACTCCACGACCTTGCACTCATGAGCAGAAGTCGCCCCTGAGGAAAGGCGGAGGAGGAGAAATAGAAAACAGGAGGACGACAAGGCGGCGGAGGAGGGGGGGGTCCGCGTCTGCGTTCCTTGTCCTTCGCCCGTGATATCGTCTCCTCTCCGTCGCTCCTCTGCCTCGACGGTCATTGCGAAGACCAGATTTTCGCTCGGGCAGAGGAGGGCCCAAAGCAACAGCTCCGTTTTGGAGAATCATAGGACCGCCAGCGTTAGCGTCAGAAGGGGTGGGGGCTGTGTCCAAATGGCTATTTGTGGCCACGACGTCGCCCGCAGAAAGGCCGATGGGGGCATCAGTTCTGCAATCCCACCAGCCCTTTAAGGGCGTAGGTGGTTTAGGGTGTTTCCTCTTCCACCTTTTTCCCCCTTCGGGAAAAGGCTTATCACTCTTCCCTATCAGTATACACCCCTTCCCCCTAGCGGCTGGGAGCCAACCGTGGACAATGAGGGCCCCCCCCTCACCATCCTTTGTAAAACACCATACAAAACACACTCTGCCTCGAAACTCGGAGCATGCGCAGCGAACCCGATGCGGCCTCCCCCCACCATCCCTGTCAAAAAACTACACTGAATACACTTGGCGGCGGCGGCGGTTGCGGCGGCTGCGGCGGGGGCAGCGGCTGCGGCGGCTGCGGCGGTGGCGGCGGCGGTGGTGGCGGCGGCGGCGGCGGGGGCAGGGGCGGCGGCGGCGGCGGCGGCGGCGGCGGCGGCGGCGGGCGGCAGCGGTGGCGGAAGCGGCTGCGGCGGCAGCGGCTGCGGCGGCTGCGATTCGGCAGCGGGGAGGACGGCGGCGGCGGCGGCGCGGCGGCGGCGGCGGCGGGCGGCGGCGGCGGGCGGCGGCGGCGGCGGCCGGCGGCGGCGGCGGATTCGCCCCCGTAGCTGCCCATCCTGAGACGACTGCTGACAATGCTGCGGCTCGGGCCAAGCTCGGGTGCTACGTATGTGTTGGGAGGGCCGGTGGGGGCGAGCGAGACGGCATGCGGGCGGGGAGGGAGTCTTGATCACTGTTCCCTATTGATACGCACCCCTTCCCCCAAGCAAATGGGAGCCAACCCAGGTCCATGAGGCCCCCCCCCAACCATCCCTTATTAAAAACGAAACACACTCTGCCCCCACCATCCCTTGTACAAAAACAATACAAACACACACTCTGTCTCCAAATTCGGAGCATGCGCAGCGAACCCGATGCGGCCTCCCCCCACCATCCTTGTCAAACAACAAAACAAAGAACAATCGGCGGCGGCGGTTGCGGCGGCTGCAGCGGGGGCAGCGGCTGCGGCGGCTGCGGCGATGGCGGCAGCGGGGGCGGGCGGCGGCAGCGGGGGGGGCGGGGGCGGCGGCGGCGGCGGCGGCGGCGGTGGCAGCGGCGGCGGCGGCAGCGGTGGCGGCAGCGACTGCGGCGGCAGCGGCTGCAGCGGCGGCGATTTGGCAGCGGGCGGCGGCGGCGGCGGCGGCGGCGGGCAGCGCGGCGGCGGCGGCAGCGGCGGACAGCGGCGGCGGCGGCGGCGGCGGCGGCGGCGGCGCGGCGCCGGCGGCGGCGGCGGGCGGCGGCGGCGGCGGCGGCGGCTGCGGCGGATTGGCCCCCAGAAGCTGGCCATCCAGAGACGACTGCTGCATATGCTGCGGCTCGGGCCAAGCTCGGGTGCTACGTATTTGTTGGGAGGGCGGGTGGGAGTGAGCGCGACGGCTTGCGGGCGTGGAGGGCGTCTTGACCCCTCCCCCTACCCCCTTCCCTGGAACTAGAGGGGGCGTTCCCTGGGTCGCCGGAGCGTCCAAAACGGCCTCGGCGAGGAAGCCAAAAGCATTGGCTTACAAGGGTTTTGGCTCCATTTTGGCCTCTTGGGGGGGCGGCGCAAATTGAGACCCCCCCTTCTTTGATCGATCTCCTCCGAGATGGCCCCAAGAACGCTTCCCAGGCTTCCGAAGGTGCCCCAAGAGGGCCCCAAGAGGTGGCCAGGAAACCCCAAGAGGCCCCCAACAGGCCCCCAGGATGCCCCCAAGACACTCCCAAGAAACCCCCAAGAGGCGCCAAGAAGCCCCCCAGAGACACCCAAGACGCTCCAAGAGGCCTCGGCGAGAATGCCAAAATCATTGATTGTACCAAGGTTTTGGCCACATTTCGGCCTCCTGGGGGGGGGGGCACTGCTTCAGATGACTCCAAGAGCGCCTGGGGGAGCCCAAGATGCCCTCCAAGATGGCTCAAGATATCCCAAGATGCCTCGAGATGGCTCCCACGATGCTCCAAGAGGTCCCAAGACCGCTCCAAGACGGCTCCAAGCGGCCAGAGAGCTCCCCCAGGAGGTCCCGACAAGGCCCAAATCCTTCCAAAACCATAGGAACATCAATGTGTTTGGCTTTCTCGCCCTTTCGCTTCCGATGGCCATCCGAGGCTTCAAGATGGCAAGATGGCCCAAGGGGGCTCCAAGAGCGCTCCCAAGGCTCCCAAAAGCGCTTCAAGAGGGCCCCAAGAGGCGCCCAGGAGGCCCCAGGAGGCCCAACAGGCGCCCAAGAGGCTTCCAAGAGGCTCCCAAGAGACCCCCAAGAGGCCTCAAGAAGCACTCCGAAGCACCCAAGACGCTCCAAGAGGCGTCCGGGACCGCCAAGAAGCCCCCAAGACACTCCAAGAGGCCTCCACTGGGGGACCCTTCCTCTGTGTGCTGCCCACTTCCCTGATTGAGGCAATTCCTCTGGGCATCCTTTCTGGATGGGCTGGCGGGGTTACTTTTTTTGGTCGGCGGCTCCAAGGCAACGGTCAAGGAGCGGTAGCGGCGTCCGGGATGCGGCACGGTGGCGGTGCGAATTTGCGAACGCAGCCGCCAAAGTCGGCAAGCCAGTTCGCCCTGCACAGCAAGAGCGCAGTTGCACATGCACAGAACAAACTGAACTAAATTCACAAGCAAACGCACATAGGCGCCAGAGCGTGAACCGAAGTAAACGAGCTGCAGAGCGTGCGAATGCAGCGGAGTGAGTCGCCGGTTCGGCGCCAAACTCCAGGCCGCCTGCCCACGCCGAACTACTGAACGGAGAAGTCGGGCAGAGCGCGGTGGAAAACACGAGGCTACGCGAGCGCGGAAGGCCGAACCACTCAGAGCCCTGTCCTCAAAATCCCCCGCCCAGCCGGGGGGGGCCAGCGGCGACCGAGGCGCGCCGAGCCCAGCGCCTGAGGCGGATAGGCCCGCTGGCGGCCGAGGAGGTGCGCGGGGGAAACCACAGGCTGCACAATGGCTGCGCCACTTAGAGCCAGGCCCTCCAGAGCACAACTCCCGGCGCCGATGGGAGCCAGCGACCGCCAAAGGCGCCGCTGTGCCACCGGGTCCTGCCACGAAGAGGTCCGACGGGATGCAGCGCCGCTGGCATTTGCTGAGGGTCGGCGCATGGTGGTGGAGACGCCAGCGCTGCCTGCCAAGGAGGGCCCTTCTGACGAGGCCATCGCGGCCGCCGCGGGCGAGCCCCGAGGGCACGGGCGGGGGGCGCCCACCGGGCCCGAGGGAGCGGCGAGGGACGCAACGTCACTCACCGCGGCCAGCCAGCAGCCGAGCCGGGGGGAGACGCTAGTCACCGGGCGCGCCCGGGGGCAGCTGCAAACCGCGGAGAGCACCTTCGCTGAGGGGAGGGGGGCGCAGCTGACCGCCGCAAGAAACCATTAACATCGTTAGCTGCTACTCGCCGAGAGCACCTGCGCATAGAGACGGGGGGGGCGCAGCTGACCGCCGCAAAGCACCGTTCACATCGTGGGGGGCGGCAGTACCTCGCCGCTGAGGTCCCAGCTGGAGTGAGCCAGCAACGGGATGCGCCTCGTGGGGGGGTCTTGTGCCACAGCTATACGCACCGGAGCTGAAGCTGCCAAAACTGGGGCCCGGGACCGCAGGCCGGGCGGCGTGCAGGGGGGGGGGCTGTTTCAGTCGACTTCCCCCTGCCGCCGAGAGTGGGTGGCTGCCG